TGACTATAGGGTGCAGTGTAGGAGTGACAAAATGAGGAACTGTGTCCGTGGTAAGAAGGGGAAACACAGATATTCAAGGCCCTCCACCGCCCCCCCCCCCCTCACTCCCTACATCTGCCCTCGAGTGGCAAGGCACACAGACTGTCAAATTGAAAAGTATTATCAACTGGAATAAACAAAGTCAAGGAAAAGGAAAAATTATCCTTTTTAAGATGCAGATATATCCCACTGACATGTACTCTCACCATCTAACAAGTCACCCAAGACAAAAGAAAAGTAAAAACAAGAGAGAACATCTATTTTTATACAATGAAATTATTACCATATTATTAATAGGACATTAACACAAATTAGTAAAATTTGCTTTAATGTAAGTCAGATTAATTTTGTTAAATGTCAATTTCCCTGACATTTATTATGTGCAGCATTAATTTCCATTGTTTTAACGCCAATCTTGGAACCCTAAACAAAGAAAGGAAAGGGTATTGTTTTATGGTGTTGAAGATTGGTCGGTATCATGGACTGTTTAAAAAACACTAGAAATAACCAGATTCCATCATGAAGCCCTAACATTTAGGATTTTATGAACTGTTTTTCTGAGCAGATGGTTCAGTTTTGCATCCATCCCATGTTGAAATACTAAAATTTGTTTCAGTTGCATTAATCAAGTTTGAATTGTGTCTTTCTTAAACCAAATTCAGGTATCAAACTTTTACATGAGCCATTAAGCCTAATATTTTTAAATTAAGTTAACTAGCAGAAACATTTGGCATCTGAAACAATCACACATGGCTATTTTAATATTTTCGATTGGGCCTGTCATTATCCTGCCTGGCTCAGCCAGAAATTTTGACTTTGGAATGGATTTTTTTCAGATGATAAGCAATAACTTCATGTGCTGAATCTTACGCTTAAAATTTTATTACAAAGCCTTTCTCCAAATTGCACTGATATTGGCTGAGAAAGTTTGACATCTGAGTCCACCTGAATAGAAATAAGCCCATGAATAGTTCAAAATCTGAACTGGATTTAAGACTGACTTTACAAAGAAATATCTTTCACCTCAGATGCCTGGATTGTTGTGCTGAATAACCGAGTCCCATCCATTAGAGGGCCATCCGTCCAGTTGCCATATTTCAATTCCTTTTCATGCCAGATAAGTTTTCCAGTATTGTTGAAATCTGTGAAGTGCTTCTCCTCTGCCAAATATACCCAAAGTTCCTACAAATGTATGAAACAATAATTATTGTTATAATTACGTGCATTTGTTGAATATGTGAGCAGAAATTTTTAATTATTTTGTAGCCTTATCAAAATAACTTTTTTAACAATGATTTTGAAAAATCTCTGGATTTGAGAACAAGATTTCATGAAAAGAAATTTTTTTTATCTACAACCAAGGGTGCATGCTGGCCATTTACAAGGAAAAAACGGAAATTGCAGTTGGAAAATTCAAATGGTACATGCCACTCTGTTTGGGAAGCATGAGAAAACATGGGCTGTGATTTTAGGGAGTGCAATTTTTCTACTCTTTGGTGGGTTGTTCTCCCACCACGTCAAATCTTATAGTTTTATGTTTATGCGCAAGATTTCCACCCGGGTGGTTTGTGTAGAAGGTAATCAGTTATATGGTATTTTCTCAATTCAATACTGGATCTTGAAGAAATGCCAGGCATTTATTCATGGCATCATGACCTGATACATGTTATTTTATGGTTATTGTTACCCCAGGTAAACTGGAGGTTCAAACAAATACAGGATCTGTACCAGGTCAAGGATGAAATGCCATGGTATGATTATTGGTGTGCTGCCTTGTCCACCTTAACCCTTTCACTGCCAAATATGACCAAAGGCAAATTCGACAAAAATCCCAAATTTCATTTTGTAAATTTTTTTAAAAACAAATAACACCACATGTAAGTACTTCCAAAGAGAATTCATTTGAATGGTTGCACCACAGGATTTCGTCCACAGACTCAAAAGTTAGAACCACCTCACAAACTCCATCATCCACTCCGGCAGTGAAAGGTTTAACTGACTCAAAAAAAAGGATTGTGTTGATTCCAGGAACAATGACTAATTCTTACCATTGACAATTAAGATATTTTTATCGTTTGAAAAGGTTAAAGCTACAGTACCACTAAATATATTTTTTAGTAAAAGTAAGAAAAAAACCACACGCACAAAAAGAATAAATTAACACCTGTCCAAGTTTATGTAACGAACCCGTATATAACGAACAAAGTATAATTGCGGGAAAACATTCTTAAATATAGTGTTTCTGCCCAGTTCTTGATTACAAATCTGTTATGAACTACGTTAACTCTTTTAAACAAATAGGAAAGTGGTATTTTCTTTTGATCTGTAAGTTGTAAGTCTTGGGATGAAAATGCCGGTCGATCTTTAATAGGAAGTACACAGAAACTCGCCAATAAACACAACGGATCAAACAAATCAACAGATCTTTTCAAAAACAAAACCAAGTAAGCAACGCTGAAGAAACATATAACTTAAGCTTACTATTTTCTGATCCGTTTTGAACATGTTCGTGGATGCCACAGTGTTCGTGTTGCTACTCTGCTGCCGGCCACGAAACAGATTCGAAATCATCCAAAAAATGAACATCCGAAAGAGAAGACCTTTCCAAATTGACCCTTGCTGTTGTTGCTGTTGAGGCTGGCCATTTTGTTGCTCGTTATTCCCCGCTGTTCCATTCTGAACCTGGCTGTTGGTTTGCTGTGAGCACGCTGTCGATTCACTTCGATTTTCGGTCGCCATGATGGAAAGAAAGGATGAAGAAATAGGCTGGGTAACCACGCCTTCACTTGTGAAGGTCAGGTGCCCTAGCCATTGTTGCCTGTCCCGTCCAGCATCTTTCTTGGTTCATTCTTTTCTTTTCTTTTTTTCGTTTCTTTTTGGGTGCTGAAAATGATCATGGCATTCTTGTTCTTCAGCTGAACTGATTGTTAATGTGTTTAATGCCGTTCCATATAACAAATCGACAACAATTCTGTACTCTTATCGACCATAGAAATGACATAATGCTCAAAACGTAAGTCAAACATTTTGACGTCATTTCTAACTCTTGACCAATCAGCGCGCGAGAAATCGATCATTTACTGTAAAAAGTTTTTTGAAAAATTGATGCGTAAAAACGCGGGGAATACCCACGCTACAATAAACTATGGATGAGCTTTATATTAAGGCTTTAATTGTCTACTGCAAGAATTATCACTCACGCTAAAAAATAGCGGGAATTAAAAAGGTAGTTTTACCACAAATACTTGAGCGAAAGGCATTAACATTGTCCGCGTATACAGAAGCCGGGGGTAAGGCATTCCAAACTAGGACAGTTCTAACAAAAAAAGAGAACTTGTGCGAGTTAATGTTAGACAAAAAGTGTTGATACTGAGATGGATGTTGCGTGCTGGCTCGCGTGACGTACGGGGAGGCTGTCTCGAGTAGATCATTAGGAAAAGGTATTTTGACGTTGCCTGTTTGGATCTTAAAATCTATGATCAAGTCAGAAATCCTTCCACGTGTTTCAAGATCTTGCCACCATAACTTTGATATCTGGTTGGGTGATAGTCGTTGAAAACAAAGCGCACTGCGCAGTTTACGGTCATCTCGCCACCGCATAATAACTCTGCAATAATTGACCCTGTTTACTTACCTGGGATTGTTACTTCTTTCTCAAAGCTAAAAATATGTTTATCAGTTTAAACTGACACCTTGCGTGGAACTTCTCATCTTAAATTTATTTTTTGTGAGCGACTTTTTAATACCTTCATACGGCTTATTTGCATCGCTCGAGTAGTGCGATTTGTTTCAAATCCAACAGCCTTTCTTATGAAAGTTGGTTAATATTGTCACTTGAACCTTACCTCCTTAAATTTCATTACAAATTTAAAGTGAAAGAATTCTTTTCAGAGACTAGTCTTTTCGTTAAGTATTAAGATAGACATTTCTTGGTGGCGATCTCGTTGTAACCTCGTCCCCAAAAAGGAAAAGCGCTCTGAGGACGAGGTTGGATTTCGTTGTTGGCGAGGTGACTGGATACCCGCTGCGCGACGCTGAACGGATCCTACGCAGGTGATGTCCTTCTGTGTATATGGAGACCAGGCAACGGCGCCGTATTCAAAAAATTGCGCGGACTAAGCTTAAGTAGGATCGTTCTTTAACAGTGCGGCTATAGGACGCTACTCACGCTAGGTTCCTCTGCAGTACACCTAACATCTTGTTTGCTTTCTTTTTCACTTCCACAGTCTGTTTAGACCAGCCGTATGGGAGCTGGTAATGTAAACCCCTAGATATTTCTGGAAAGTGACTCCCTCCAAAGGAATGTTGCACAGAGTTTACAAGATTGATGATGGCTGGTGCTTGAGGGTGATTGACAGGGTGTAGCATTTGCTAGGGGCAAAGTTCATTTGCCACATAGCCGCCCATTTCTCAAGCCGCAACAGGTCCTGCTGAAGCGTACCATGGTCAGCCGAACACACAATATGGCGGTAAAGCACACTGTCATCCACATTCGATAAGGGTAGATCGTTGATAAATAGAAGAAACAAAATTGACCCTAGAACTGTGCCCTGGGGTACACTAGATAGAACAGGTGACCAACTAGGTGATGAACTATTCACCACTACGCGTTTCCTTCTACCAGTGAGAAAAACCCGAAGCCAGTTATTCAGTTTCCCAGAAATGCCATAAAATTTGGCCGTAAGGGGGAGCCTTTCGTGAGGCACAATGTCGAAGGCCTTCCCGAAATCAAGGAAAATCACGCTAAATGCATGAATAGACTAGCGATAAATGCAAAAACCCTTTGTTCGTACAAAAAGTGGCAGATATTTATCACTACTTAGGCTATCGATCTAAGTACGTAAAATGCCTATTTTTGTGCCCATTTGATTGAATGAAAACCATTGGATAAGGCTTCGTCTATCAGATTTGACATTCTCACATCACGTTATTTAGGGTTTGCTTTAAGGATTGGTCATTAATCATTGGAGGGCCGGAGGGTCAGTAAAGTTGGGGGGAGGGCTAAGATTTCTTAAACTCAATTTCAGGAGGTTTTTCTTGGCGTTTACAATTTTTGTGACTCTCGAATAAGCGCCTTAACAATTCGGCCAAATGGGGAACAGGACGCCTCTTTAAAGAAGTCTCGAGAGGGTCGCCAATAAGGTCGCTAGCTGAAACTTTATTTTGGCAAGTCACATAAACCAATACTGGGGATAGAGATATTTTAACCGGGCACACGACGTTATCACGACCATGTTGGGGTGTTTAAACTAAGCTACAGCTAGACGCCGAAAGGCGTTCCCTGGGCTGCCATAACACCTAGACTAGACAGAATATACTGTATTGTATAAAGAGAGCCCGTGTTTACCAGAACAGACAGCCAACAGCCTAATAAAAGGAAGCAACCCCACTAAATCCATCCAGATCCAAGGACTACAAATCAGTAAACACCCGCGTATAAGAACCGACATTTTTTGAAGTCTGGCAAGAAAAGGTTCTTCTATTTTGGGGTAGTTATCGGCAATTCAGGTTAGGCAAGTTCTTAATTAGGTATTTAATTTCTATGAAGGAGATATAGTTGTTGACTACAAGAAATATTAAGAACCTCTTGAGTTTGGTCCTTAAATCTACAGTATTTGAATTGTAAACCTTTCTATGGTATGGGCCACTCTCCTGTCTGCCATATCTTATTGCATATTTTATGCAAGGCACTTATCACGGCGTCTCCTTCTGCCTGAACCAGCTCCCCCGGGATATTGTCTATCCCTGAAGATTTTTTCTCCTTGAACGATTTCATTGCGTACCATGGGCAAATAAAGGCTGGCGGAGCCCATCCCTCTCCAAAAACCCTGGATATGGCTTCAAAAAATCAAAGAACTTTACGTTCGCGCAAGTACATTAATGCAGGATCGATGTAACTTCTGGGTTAAAATGTCACAGGCTGACCAAAATTCCATTACTGCATGGGAAACAACCGTACGTACCGCTGCGGGACGCTGTTTATTTGGTACAAATGAGGAAGAATTCATGAGAGACAAATTTCTTTTCGGTCTTAACGAATTCTTCACGCGTTTTCGGGAACATATTTTCTATAGAGATGGCCAGCGGAAGCCTGATGACCCGCCTTTCACCTTGGCTTTCGTGGTCAGTCAAACCCTATCATTTGAAACGGCTCAACAAACAAACAAGATTTTGGCAACCTCTGCAATTGAAGAACAGTTCCATTATACTGCATCTGCGCTCGCCAACAAAGGCCTCCCAAAACCCCCTGAAAGACCTGAAAACAGATCCTGTTTTTTGGGGGATAGCAAGCAACAACACTCTCGTGACTTGTGCCCAGCGTCCCGAAAAATCTGCAGCTACTGCCACAAAACCAGCCATTTCACATACGTTTGTCAGCAGGCCTTCAGAGCCCAGCGACCCTCCGGTACCACCCCCCAAAACCCAACTCCACCGGGACCCAGCAGGAAGGCATTCAGTATTGGAACTGCTTTACCCTCTCAGAAAAACAACCTCGTGATCTTCTTAGCACGGCAACTACGCCACCCTCGCTTCACCCACACCTATCGCGGACAAAGGCCATTTCGTCATGCTTGATTTAAGGATTCTAGACTCCCCCATCAGTAAGCAGATTCCTTTCCAGATAGATTCGGCAGCTTCCTGCAATACCTTGCCGTCCAACCACCTCACCAACATACCTTGCGCCAAGATTTCTCCATCGAAGACTGTAATACTGCCCTATGCCAGTCCACCAACTAAGCCTATCGGCCATGTCACCCTTACAGCTAGCAAAGGTAGATCCACGTGTGATCTCACCTTCCACATCATCAACGCTGAACAGCCAGCCTTACTCGGTATAAAAGCCAGCAAAACACTAGGCGTGCTAACTGTGATTTTATAAGAAAATGCTCCACAAGCACCACTCAACCGTCCCCAATGTCTAGCCTTAATCAAGATTCGGCTGCTGGCCCACCCCCAGCCCCTCCAAATACTTCAGATCGGATTTGGCCTGAGCTTGGAACTTTAACTCTCAAGTTTATTTCAGAGAACTGCCACTTCATCTTTCAGAGACTTGGGTTCCTTGGCCCACTGTTGACTTTGACCTGAAGTCAAACGTCTCAAAACTGGATTCAACCAAAGTGGCAGTGGATACCTATGAAGCCACCGGCCAGCTGATGAGAGAATCTGAACCAACCGACTAGATATATATCTAACATGGTTGTAAGAGAAAGTAAGCCAGCTCCCACAAAACCATGGGAAACAAGGCGCTGCCTAGACCTTCCCAGACCCTCAACAAGGCCATTCGTCGTCCGAAGTGCATCATACCGACTTTGGAAGAGAATATCCACAACCTACATGGGATGAATAACATGACAGTGATAGTTGTCAAAGAAGCTTTCCAGAACACCCCTCTAACAGTGAAATCATCCCTAATGACCACCATGTTCACGCTGTGTGGTCCCTACAGGTGGACTAACGACCATTTGGCATATCCTCAGCTTCTGAGGAATGGCAGCGCAGAATTCACATGGTCCTGGAAGATCTGCAGGTCATCAGTATCGCCGAGGTCATCTTAATCCCAGGCTGTGGTGCCTCGGACACAGAGGCCAGGATCGACCACGACCGCAAGCTCATTGCTGTGCTCGAGAAATTTGACCAGCATCATGTAAAGCTAAATGTCAACAAAATGCGGTTACCTGACCACGGAGCGACCTTCATGGGCCATGTTATCACTACAGGCGACCGTTCAGGCTTTGGTCACCATGCCCACTCCAACTGATAAACAGGCCCTCCGCAGATTCCTGGGTGCCGTCAACTACTTCAGCAAGTTCTGTCCTCAACTATGTAGCATCACACAACTTCTGCGCGACCTCATAGGAGAGGACACGTCATTCTTATGGTCAGTTAATCACCAATGTGCTTTTGATGAAGCCAAAGCTCTAGTCACAGATGCGCCGTGGCTGGCATACTATGACATAAACAGCCCGGTAGTCCTCCAAGTGGACGCTTGGGACTATGGTTAAAGGGCAGCATTCTTACAGCCAAGTAAGTAGCACAGTGATGGTACCTTTCACAACTCTTCATTACAATCTGTCCCCTACCCCAACGTAACAGCGTTACGCATAGATAGAAAAAGAGTGTCTGGCCATCGTTGAAGCCTTCAACGAATTTGACAAATGGCTGCTACGAAAATCCAAAATTACTGTACACACTGACCATCAGTCTCTTCAATAAATCTTCCAGAAGGATTTTCCTTCGACACCAAAACGCCTGCAGAAAATGATGCTTTTCCTACAGCGTTACAGTTCACTGTTGTGTACAGAAAAGGTTCTTCATTACACTTAGCGGATACACTTTCCAGGGCCCCATGCCAGGACAGAGCAGCTGCTCCTTCCGTACCCGACACCTTCCAAGTCTTCCTTCTGCATCTTGCTCACCTGGACCCTCGCTCACCAACCCTTACAGATTCCACTCGTAAACAGCTAAGCAGAGCCACCGTCTACTGCCAAGACTTGAACAGCTGAAACAGTACACCCTCCACATTTGGCCACCAACTTGACAGCAAATACCCCCGGATCTTCTAGCATTTAAGCACTTTTGATGATGACCTTAGCCTAGCAGATGGTCTTCTTCTCAAGTCTAGCCGGGCTATCGTTCCTACCTGTTTAAGGCCCAGAATGCTGAGCAAAATCTACCAGTCATATAGAGGAGCCGAATACTGCCTCCGTTGCGCAACAGACGCAGTTTTTTGGCCAAGCAAGACATAGAGGTAGTTTGTCAGGCATGCCCTACCTGTGCCCAATACGGAGTGCAAACTGCATTGGAGCCCATGCTCTCGCACCCCACCCCGACGCAGCTTTGGCAGTTTGTTTCACAGGATATCTTCGAACTGGATCTTAAGCAGTACTTAATCACGGTAGACCGTTATAGTGATTTCTACAAATTAGACCGGCTAACAAACAATCAGTCCTCCACCATCACAGATCTTACCAAAGCCCATTTCGCCCGCTATGGCATACCGCTGCCCTGTCTCACGGACAGTGGTCCCCAGTTTGTCTTGAATGAGTATTAAACATTTGCTAAAACGTATGGTTTTGAACACGTCACTTCATCGCCCTACTGGTCTCACAGCAACGGTAAAAGCCGAAGCAGGTGTCAAAGATGCCAAGTCTACCCTTAAGAAGTCCCACGACATCCACGTGACAGTGCTCAACATAAGGAATACGCCACCTCTTGGGCACTCCTTCTCCCCAGCTCAAAGGTTAATGGGCAGACGTACCCTATCTACTCTCCCTCTCTCCGCCGAGCTACTCAAACCGGAGCCTCCAGATCCTTGGACAGTTTGCTCCGAGATCACTCGCCGCAAGGAAGCCTCTAAAGCTCAGTACGACAAGCACGCAAGACCCTCTCTCCTGCCACTGCCACTTGATTCCCATGTTTACGCAAAACCTCGTCCACCTCAGCGGGGAACTCCTTGGATCTATGGTCAAGTTGTTGAAAACCCTTCGCCAAGTTCCTACAGACCAGGAAGGCTGATCAGAATGCCAAAGAAGTTTGAGGACTATAGCCTTTACCAGGAGCTCCTGCCTTTACTAGAAAACTTAATTAACTGTTACCTCGCAAGAACAGTACCCGTACCTAGGAACATTGTACATTGTTCACATTTGTTTTTTTCTTTTGTAAATGTTTCATTTTTTTCCGTTTTCATTTCTTCAACAATGGCCTGTTTATTGGCTGTACATCTCAGAGACGATATTTTTACTCGTATGTCATTTTATTTTATTTTCGAAGAGGGGGGGATGTCACGTTACCGTTGCGTTACAGCCCATGTATTTTCGTTATGTATTCGGAGGTTCCCGGATGATAGCTTGCTTTTGTAGTTGTTTGCAATAAATACAGGTCGAACACGAAATCTGGCCTGTATACCTTCTTCGCGGATCTTGCCCAACATAGCACTTCTAATCCTACCCTACTTAAATCTACCCAACTATCTTTTTGTAAGAGGGAGGGGTTACCGTTCTTTTTAATTTATTTATCAATTTATTTATTTTTTTCCTTCGTATGCAACACCATCTATGAAAATGGTAATGCAAATAAACCATTGTTATTTTTGTTGACTTAGGACCCCATGAGAATCAAAGTGACGCGTTACTATAGGAAACCGATTAAATCTATAACAAACCTGCTTGGTCCGACCACGATGATAGGCATGTTTACAAATTTAAATCGACGGTTTTTTAAGGGAGCATTATTTGTTGCTGTGCTTTCTTTTACATCCTTCATGGGTACAATTGTCATTATGGGACCAACTTTGATTTTGCTGTGGTTACGTCCGAGTTGGTTTCGTTGGATAAACGATCGACTTATGGTAATATGGCTTACTCTGCCTCCGGTACGACTTATCTGAATTCAATTTACCTGTTTTTGTATGCTTTCTTTTTCCGTCTCTACTGTGCCATGTACCTAACCTTACTTCTAATGCTTCAAGATAAGACTGTTTTAAAAAATTACTTTGTTAAAAACTACTTACATCTCTCGCCTCAAAATTATATGTATATACAAATGTTTTCCTGTTTAGCCCTGCAAGACATAAATGTTGTGAAAACTGACTTTTTTGGAAGTAGGAAAAAAGTGTTATAAAATCAATTCAAAAGTGTTCCTATCTTAAACCCGCAAATTTTATATCCGCAATGTGTTTCCTACTAGTTCAGTCATCTGACGGCAAATATGTTCCCACATCAATTATTTGAGCTATTTTGAAAAAATAGCTCATATGTCAGTGGTGTGAGCGTATGTATCTTTGTGGCTTTGTATCTTTGTATGTTGGGATGTTTGTTGCAAGAACCAATAAGGTTGAAGGTACTATGAGTTGATGCTTAGGAACCAATGAGATCTTGGCATCTATGTAAACATGGCATTGGTAAAGGTCGAACAAGGGCACTTTGAGACCGCCATCTTGATCCTTCACAATTTTTTCGTCTTTTATTACGGGTACAGGTGTTTGGAAGCATTACATAAAATATATTCATGATTCAAACGCTGTGAAAAGTGATGCAGCTGTTTAAGGGTTCATATTTAAGTGTGGATGCTGCCTCGAGGCATTTCTGACCTAATTCGGCTATCGGTACAACGCACGTCAGTATGAGTTCTGTTTCACCTGCTACAACTGGGTAGAGTATAAAAGATCATATATTTTCAAATCTCTTCCAATGAAGTAATAATTGATATTTAGATATAGACTTT